CTGTCCACCATGCGCTCGGCGCAGACCTTCTCCTCCGCCCTCGCCGAGATGCAGAAGTTCTACGGCATCGCCGTCACCGGCATCCTGGATGAGGAGACCAAGGCGTGAGTGTCCTCTTGCCTTGGCCGAAGGCAGCTCCGCGTTCCCGCTCTTCGGCTCTGCCCGCACCTGGAAAGGCGGGTGCTGTCTCCCACGGGAGTTGCGTCTCCCCCTTTTGGGGGCTGCACCCCTGCAGCCAGGACAGCGCCCTCGGCTGCTGTGACCCCTCGGGGACCTTGGCCGCGGTGGGCTGAGCCCTGGCTCCGTGCCCTCCCGGCAGGTGGATGAAACGTCCCCGCTGCGGAGTCCCGGACCAGTTTGGGGCGCGGATGAAGTCCAACATGCGGCGGAAGCGGTACGCGCTGACGGGGCGGCGCTGGAGCCAGAGCCATCTTACCTTCAGGTACCCGACATCTCCGGGGCTTCCCACCCTCTCTCCCACGGAGAGCCAGGGACCCCCTCGGGGAGCAAGCGCTGTCCTGGGTCACCCCCAGTGAGCTCTGTACTCCCCAGCATCCAAAACTACACGGAGAAGCTGGGTCGATACCACTCGTACGAGGCCGTTCGCCGAGCTTTCCGGGTGTGGGAGCAAGCCACGCCGCTGGTTTTCCGGGAGGTGCCCTACGAGGACATCCGGCAGAAGCGGAAGAAGGAGGCCGACATCATGGTGCTCTTCGCCTCCGGCTTCCACGGAGACAGCTCCCCCTTCGACGGCGTCGGCGGGTTTTTGGCTCACGCCTATTTTCCCGGTCCTGGCATGGGGGGGGACACGCATTTCGACTCAGATGAGCCCTGGACGCTGGAGAACGCGGATGTGTCTGGTGAGTTGAGGGCCAAGGAGGAGGAGAAGGCAACCGGAGCCTGGTGGTCCCCTGGGTTTGAGGGGGAGGGTGGCAGGGAGAGCAGCGTTGGGGCCCAGGACCCACCCCCTGCGTCGTGCCTCCCCACCCCGTCTCGCTGAGGGTGCCTTTCCCTGCAGGGAACAACCTTTTCTTGGTGGCCGTGCACGAGCTGGGGCACTCGCTGGGCTTGGAGCACTCCAGCAACCCCAGCGCTATCATGGCTCCCTTCTACCAGTGGATGGACACGGAGAACTTCCAGCTGCCCGAGGATGACCTCAAGGGCATCCAGCAGCTGTACGGTGAGGAGCTGGGGGTGGGGGATCAGCCCAGAGGTGGGGTGCTGGGCACGTGCGTGGGGAAACTGAGGCACGTGCGCTGCTGCTCAGCATCACCCCATCCCTTCTCTCACCTGCCCCGTCCAGGTACCGTGGATGGGCACCCTCAGCCCACCAAGCCTTTGCCCACCGTGACACCCCGGAGACCTGGCAGGCCAGACCAGAGACCCCCTAAACCACCTCCCCCGGGGAAACCCGAGCGACCCCCCAAACCTGGCAGCCCAGACCGACCTGACCAGTACGGCCCTGACATCTGCGACGGGAACTTCGACACGGTGGCGGTGCTGCGTGGGGAGATGTTTGTGTTCAAGGTACCTGCCAAGACCCCCTCCTTCCCCTTCCCTGGGCATGTGGTGTGTCCCTGGGTGAGAGGACCCCCTGGAACTGGGGCTCTGTCCCCCCCATCCTCAGTCAACGCCCCGTTTCCCACCAGGGCCGGTGGTTCTGGAGGGTCCGGCACAACCGGGTGCTGGACAACTACCCCATGCCCATTGGGCACTTCTGGCGGGGCCTCCCCGGGGACATCGACGCCGCCTACGAGAGGCATGACGGGAGGTTCGTCTTCTTTAAAGGTGAGCAGGGAAGCTGGGTGGGAGGGCCAAGGCGGTGCGGGGACCCCAGTGCCCCCTCCCGAGGTGCTGGGAGCTGGTTGGCTTCATCCCACCCTGATCCCGCTCTGCAGCCGGAGTCGCTGCCTGATTCCCACAGGGACGGCGTGGCTGTACCCCAGTCCCTGTCGTCATGTGTCCCTTCT